AGTGGGCCAGATCTGAGCTGGAAAAAAAGCAGGGCAGAGGCTGTGGTGGACCCAGAGGTGACCAGCTGGCCAAAGCAGAGGGCAGAGGAAGTGAGCACAAGGGCATACTTCTTGGGTGTACTTTCTGACTCTTCCCTCACCCACCCCCAGAGCTGGGGGACCTTCCTCTTGTCCGCCTGGATTTCTCCTGTAACCGCATCTCCCACATCCCGGTCTCCTTCTGCCGCCTCAGGCACCTGCAGGTCATTCTGCTGGATAGCAACCCCCTGCAAAGCCCTCCTGCCCAGGTGAGGGGTGGACTTGGAGTGGACTGTGGGGACAGGGCCGAGACTGGACAGGAGTGGGGGAGGGGTGGATCTCTTTGGTAGCCAAGCAGGATCTGGGGTGCCCCCTTGCTTCCTCCTAACTCCTTTCATGCTCCTCTTCACGTTTAGATCTGCCTGAAGGGGAAACTTCACATCTTCAAGTACTTGTCAACAGAGGCTGGGCGGCGTGGGGGTACTGCACTGGGGGACCTGGCCCCTTCCCGCCCCCCGAGTTTCAGTCCCTGGTAAGTCCCATGTGGGAAAGAAGGAAGCTCCTGGATCCTTAATGCCCCTTCCTGGCACTAGGGTCCCCTTGGTTTCTGGAGGGTGGATGGGCGGGGCAAGGGTGGGGGTTGCTGCCCAGTATAACACTGACCAGCTCTCCCTCGCTGCCTCCAGCCCAGCTGAGGACTTATTTCCGGGACGTCGGTACGATGGTGGGCTGGACTCAGGCTTCCACAGTGTTGACAGTGGTAGCAAGAGGTGGTCTGGAAATGAGGTAAGTAAGTGCCTCCTTTCCAAAAGACACTGGCAATCTCTGCCCTGGGGGAGAATCTCTGAGCTAGGACCCTTTGCCTTGTACTTCTAAATCTCAGAATGACAGATGGTGGCTGGAGCTGTCCTCTTCTTTTCCTTGCCCAAGTATCCCGGGGAAGGGCTGGCTCAGCAACAGATAGGCCCTGAACCTCATGAGCCCCCAGAACTACAAAGAGGCTGTCTCCATGTCTGCATTTCTGCATTTATAGTCAACAGATGACTTTTCGGAGTTGTCATTCCGGATTTCCGAGCTGGCCCGGGAGCCTCGGGGCCCCAGGGAGCGAAAGGAGGACGGTTCTGGTGAGTAGTACGATCAGAGGCCCTGGGGCTGAGGAGAATGGACAAACCTTAAGGCCCTCAATTGCTTGCTGATGTGTCTTGGTCTCTCCAGCTGATGGAGACCCCGAGCATATTGACTTCATTGACAGCCATGTGCCTGGGGAGGACCAAGAGCGAGGTGCTGCCGAGGTGAGGGGCCAGGCCTTGTCTGTATGTCCATCAGCTGTGAGAAGAGAGCTGGAGGAAGGGATCAATGCAAGCCAGTCGTCCCTCAGCCCCTCTGCTCTTTTTCTTCAGGAGCAGCGGCCACCAGAATTAAACCCTATGGCAGGGGATGGGGAGAGGGCACCAAGCAGCAGGTACCCAGAGCCACCAGAGCTGGCACCTCTTCCCTTTACTCCATCTTCCTACACCTTCTCTCCTCTCTCCTGACCTTCTCTACCCCTCTCATCCTGCCTTTGTCCCTCAGGCGGGAGGATCCAGCTGGGGAGGAGAGGCGGCGCCCAGACACCTTGCAGCTGTGGCAGGAGCGTGAGCGGCGGCAGCAGCAGCAGCAGCAGCAGAGTGGAGTGTGGGGGGCCCCCAGGAAGGACAGGTATGGGCATGGGGCTATTGCCAGCTGGAAGGCACTGGAAATGAGTGGAAATGAGCCCTCCTGACCTACTCTGCCCCTCGGGGTTGGCAGCCCCCCGCCTGACACTGCTAACTCCACATCTCCTTCAATTTCTAGTTTTCTAAAGCTCGGGGTCAGGGCTGCTGGCGGAGGTGCTGCTGCCTTGTCCACTCAGGCCACCTACAAGTATGTGTCCTCCCAGACTCTACCTCCCTGAGCCCTTTTCCTACACACCCTCCCTCTGACCATCCCCTCTAATTCCTTTTCTGTCTCTCCTCAGTGGCATGCCCAAATCCAGTGCTACCCAACTGGGATCTTCAAGGGGACCTGGAGCCCCCGCCCCTGCCCCAGCCCCCAACTCCCAGGAACCCCTTCCTATAGCTGGATCAGGTGGGCCAGGGCTTTGGGGAGAGGATGGGGGCTTGTGTAGGTGAGGGAATGGTTGGGTCCTAGTGGCCTGAGAGAAGAATCGGACACTGAGGGAATGCCTCTCTCACCTGCTATTTTCCCCTGGCTCTGGTCTCCAGTGACAGCGCCTGCTCCCCGGCCGCTTGGCTCTATCCAGAGACCAAACAGCTTCCTTTTTCGTTCTTCTTCTCAGAGTGGCTCAGGTGGGTCTCCCCTTCCCAATACTAACCCAACGCTAACCCAGCACTAACCCCTGGGCTTCAATCACCCACTCTGGCCTGGGAGCCCTCTGATCAATTGTTCCTTTGTATTGAAAATCCCATAAGCACAGAGACAGGAGATGTGGGTGCCAGACACTGTGAGCCAATTAGAAAGTCTACGGTGGTAGTAGAGACAACCCACACACCCTCCTTTTCTCCAGGTCCTTCCTCACCAGACACTGTCTTGAGACCTCGGCGGTCCCCCCAGCTTCTGGATGAGAAGGAGCTGATGTCTCAGCTGCGCCAGGTGAGAGGTGGGATTTGTGTGGGTGAGGCCTGGGCTCAGCGTGGCACCTCCTGGAGTTTCCTGGCCTCCCTCAATACCCACTTTGTCCACCCTGATGCTTTGGCTGAGGATGGGAGGGACAGGCTCTAGAGTTCCCTGCTGACCCTGACCTCTTCGCCCCTCCTTTCCCTGCCTCCCAGGTCCTTGAGTCACGACTGCAGCGGCCTCTGCCTGAGGACCTGGCAGAGGCTCTGGCTAATGGTGTCATCCTCTGTCAGCTGGCCAACCAGCTGAGGCCCCGCTCTGTGCCTTTCATTCACGTGCCCTCACCTGCCGTGGTCAGTTGGGGCCCAAAGTGAGGAATGGGATAGGGGACTTCTATGGCCCCTCCCTTACTCTTTTTTCTTTCTTACACATCCCCAGCCAAAACTCAGTACCCTCAAGTCTCAGAAGAATGTGGAGAGTTTCTTAGAAGCCTGTCGAAAAATGGGGGTGCCTGAGGTATGGGGGAGGGGTGTTCTCAGGAGTCCAGGGGGCTGGTCTCTATTATAAAGAGCGGTGACATTCTGGGCTCAGCTGAGCCCTCTGCATGGATGGTGGGGGTTCCATTCACAGAAGGAAGCCCCTGTTCTGCACATCTCCTTTAGCTGCATGTCTCCCTTCCCTGCATGCCTCCCTTCCCCACACTTTGCATGTTAGCATGCCTCTGGCCCTGGCATGTGAGGGAAGGGGGCGGGAAGGATTGTCTTGCTGCTGCTGCTGACGTCTACCCTTTGTCTTTGTCCATCTGTCCTACTCTCCCTTCCCAGGCTGACCTGTGCTCGCCCTTGGATCTCCTCCAGGGCACCTCCCAGGGGCTGTGGACCACCCTGGAGGCTGTGAAGCGGGCGGAGGGCAGAGCGCCCCCACCCCTCTGGCCCCCCTCTGGTCTGGGAGGCTTCATCCTGTTCTACGTCGTCCTCATGCTGCTGCTCTATGTCGTCTGTACTCGGTTCCTGGGTTCCTAGGATCTGAAGTCACCCCTCCTCCACCATCTCACCCTATTTCTATTTATAAGACTCCTGTACAACCCCCATCCCTTCCAGTGGTGCCTTCAGCCCCACCAAAGACACTAGTGAACCTCCTCTCCCCTCACAAACACTGAACTCAGAGGCCCCACTATGGTGCCCCCAGACCCTGGGCCCCTAGCCTCTGGCCACCCTCCTGTAGCCCTTCCCCTCTCAGTGCTGATGGTGCCTTCATGCCCTCTCCCATCCAGCCCTGCCCTCTGCTCCCCTAGAGGGGGTGGATCTTAACCTTCCAATTTTTACTTTCTTTGCCCTCAACTCCTGCTATAGGGGGCTAAATTATCCGTATTTTGTGGAGAGAACTCTATATTTGTGGGGGATGCAGGGCCCATGCTGGGTCCCCATCTCTTGTATAAATTGTATAGACTGGCAGCCTCTGCGTGTGTGTGTATGTGTGCGTGTGTGTTTGTGTTTGTATTGTGTCTGCTCCTGCTGTGGCCAGGCCCAGTCCTGGCAGTGCCTGTTGGGCTCCATGTGCCAGCCTGCCTACTCCAGCATTTCCCTCTGGAAATAACAGGTCTCTGCTCCCCTCTGAGCCTTGGGTCCCTGTATTATCTCCCTTCTGTTATGCTGGCAGCTACTTTTCATCACATTTGTCCCCAAGCTGTGTCCAGGGTACCCCAGACCTTTGCTTCCTACACTTTGAAGGGCCATCCTGTCAGCCCCCTTTGACCTAGCTCCTCTAGAGTGTCTCCCATTCTGCCCTCTGTGACGAGCAGGGAAGCCCAGAGGAGAAGGTGTAAAGGGGCACTTAACCTGAGCCCCTCCCCCCCCCCCAGGAATCCCTGTGTCAGCCCCACCACATCCTGGAAGAGGAGGGGGCCCCAGGAAGGGGCCTCCCTTACATCGCTGCTGTCGTCCATGCACTGCTGGAACAGTCTTAGGGGCTGAGGTAGGGGCATGGGGCACAGGTCCCCGACCCACCTGGGACCAAGGAACAGAGAAGAACATCCACTCCTGGGTTCTGCTCTCTCGTAGCGCGGACTGGTGGGGACGGCCTCAGGCCTGGCCATGTTCCTTTGGCGCCCCTTGGCCTGAGGGTTTGGAAGCAGGCCAGCCCAGCGAGGTGCACCTGGTTGCCTCTAGGTGTGGCTGAGGGTCTGGGATGGAAGACAGGGCACCAGATGTTGTGTCAAGTGCAATAAAGAAGCCCGAAGGTCTTTAAGTTGCGGCTCAGGTGTGTGTGTGTGTGTGTGTGTCTGCGAACAAAAGCCATGCGTTGCGGGGAAGGGGGTCACTTCAGCATCCAGGTCCAGGTTCTGCAGTGACCTGTGCTCTGCGCCACCCTTCCACACTCAGCTGAAGATAGACCTGGCGCACCGACCCCACCGCCAGGGGGCGCCCGCGGGACCCCGGCGGGAGCACGCGCCACGTGGCCCGGAAACGTAGGCGCCCGGCGTAGCGGCGAGGCGCTGTGTAGTGGGGCGGGTGACCTGGGCTCACACGGAGTGCCAAGGTATTGCCGGCTGCTGAGGGAGGCTGGGACTGAGTGGAGGCACCGTGGGAACCAGGGAGAGGCAAGACGGGCGGGGCTGGATGCCAGGGGGGCCAGGGTATGGGCACAGAGGTGCTGCCCTGCCTTCCCCCCAGACGCGGCATGTTGCCCTGGCCTTCTCGGTGGGGCGCAGGTGAGGAGCAGGAACCGGAGGAACAGGGCCCCTTGGCGGGCAGTGACCCCAGTGAGGCCTGGACCTCTGGAGAGGAAGCCTTGGGGGAGCCAGGAACACCCCCGCAGGACAGGTGAGGGGCACGCAGGAGGCACTTGGGGGAAATACAACACGGGGGGCCCACAATGTGAGGAAATCTCAGTAGACCATATCGAAAATGGGTATGTTCAGTCTCTCCCCACCAGGCACCCTTGGCCCCTCCCTTGGAAGTATTCAGACTTGGACGGGGGAAATGAGTGAGGGAGGCTGTGACTGGGGCATCTTAGAATCTACCTCCCAACTACCCCCAGCCCTCAGCCCCAGTCCCCAAGGCCTTCCTGGACCAGGAAAGAGCATCTGCTGACCCCATCCCCTTCAGGCCTGGTTGCTGAGCAGTCCTCGGGAACCTCAGGTAGGTACAGGTCCTTGCCACCTCTATCTTCCAATACCCTTTCAGTGACTCCTGAGCCTGTTTTAATTTTTTCAAATTTCCCTCCCAGTTCCCCTTTCCCTGCAGGTGGCCTGGGAGTTGGCCCCCTCAAGGATGACTTTGCTGGCACCGTGGGACCCCAACTATGAGGCGAAAGCAGGACCTGGGCTGTTGTGGGTGAGTAGGGGGTACCTATGGCTCCAGCCTCAAGGTGGGGCAGGGATACCCTGGGAGGGGGCTGAAGCTCCACTGGTCTTTCCTGACCCTGCAGGGGCCCAGTTGTGGGTCAGGTGCCTCCTTCTCAGGCCGAACCTTGGGTCATCCATCCTTCTGGCCACTGTATGAAGCAGCCTCAGGCAGGGGCCACAGGCCCCTGGCCCCCACAATAGGACATCAGAATGGCAAGCAGGTGCCCAGGGATGCAGGTAACTTCTCTTGGTCCCCTCAGGCTCAGGACAGATGCTGTATGAGCTTCACAGGGAATTGGTGTAGAGAGCTCCCTGAGGTGGGAACTCCCAGCCTGTCACCCTAGCAGCTTCTCCTCTCAGGGTTCCCAGTGATGTGCTGTGAAGATGTCTTTCTATCAGACCCTTTGCTGCCCTGTGGACAGCGTGTTCCCCTGTACTTGTCTGAGGCCCCTCAGCAGGTGAGCACTCTTCCTACCCTGGCCTTGCCGCAGCCTTCCTGCAGGGCTTGGAAGGAGACACTTCCTCCTCCTCTCTCCTCAGGTGATGGGTTCTCCGAAGCTGCTGCTCCCACCTCCTATCATGTCCCCCCGGGTCTGCCCCACTCAGTCCCCTGGTTGCTCCACTGCCTGGCTCAGTGGGCCTGAGCTGATCGCCCTTACAGGCCTCCTGCAGATGAGCCAGGGGGAGCCAAGACCCAGCTTTTCTGGCTCATCCATGGCTCCCACGCCCTTTGCTGGTCCCCCAGACCCCATCTCTAACCACCCACGCCCCAGTGGTGACCCCAGCTGTCCTCACTGCACTGACCCATCTCTCCCATGGACCCCAGATACCCATTGCCCGTAGCCCCTCTAGGGTTACCATGGGCCCCCTACTCTCTCAGGCAGGTTTCTGTTAACAATAAAAGTGTTGGTTTGCAAACAGGCTACTTGTGTCGGGTAGCAGAGTGGGGTACAGAGACAGGGATGGGATCTCTTCCTCTACCTTGGTTTTGGCTGCCCTCCCCTCACATTCTTGTTACTCATTGGTCAAAGCACCTTTAATGAGTGGGTGCATAGGACAGAGCATACAAGAAGCAAGGACTAACTCCATCAGCTCTGCCAGGCCCAGGAGAAGAGAGGATTGTGTGAGCATGTGGCTGGCTTGGGGGAGGTGAATCACTCTTGGGGGGCTCTAGAGGTAAGATACCTATGCTTTCATCTCTCTTGTGCTGGGGCCCCAGAAGTTCAGCACTGTGGCTGGGTGTTAATTCTTTGGTTTGGAGGAGAGACAGGAGACACTAAGGTGTGTGTGTGGAGAGGATGGGCAGGACTGTGGGGGACCGAGGCTGACCTGAGACTCTGGACTGATGCTGCTGAAGAAACAGGATTGGGGCTTTGGTTGAGAAAGTCCAGACATTTTTAGGGGTTTTATTTTTGGAAGTAGGAGTTCTAGAATTTTAAAAGAATCCAACATCTTGGGAACCTCCTCAAGATTTCCCAGGCACCACAGCTGGAAGGGGCAGAGTGGGCAGCAGGCTCTAAGAAGCAACTCAGCACTTCTCAGGTCACAAATCCTAGGGAGTGTTTGGGCCTTAGAGCCCCTCAGTGGCTGAAGCAGGTGGGAAGGCATTCCTAACTTTGCCCTGTTTTTTCTTCCCTGCCTCTATCCATCCCTCAGCTAGAATGGGCAGGCTCTCACCCATGCCTCTCTGAACTTCCGAAACTTGATTTGGGTATAGCTGTGTGGATGATGCGTGCTGGGCCCTCAGGCGTGGCCTCTTGCCTCCAGAGGAGAGATCAGGTTCAAGTCAACGTAGCTGAAGTGGCCATCCAGGCGATTTTGTATGGCAGTGTCCATTCTTACGTAGTCTGAAGCCGCGTACTTGCTGCACACATATTCCCTTGCTAGCTCTGATGGTGGCTGCAAGCGGGGCTGAGCCCTTGCTGGCCCCCAGCTGGCCCCAATGCTCTTGATGGGGGCCTTGGAGCCCATGTCCAGGCTTTCAAGCCCCAGACTTGTAGGAATGGGGTAAGGACCCCAAGGAAAACTCTGGCAGAAAGTGGCTAATGGGTACATATTCAGTGCCCCCACAATCCTGGAGCAGATGGTGGGGAGCAGCATTGGCATTAGTAGGAGGGGGGTTGGGCGCCATTGTCATGTAGCTTCCTGCTTCGCCACCTCTCATGGGCTCTAATCACTCTCAGCTCCCATAGATGTGTGGTCCCCGCCCTGCTCCAGCCCCTCAGGGTATGAGGCTGCCATCCCCAGAGATGCTTGCTGGCTCCTCTCACCCAGGCACCTCCAACGGCTCAGGGTGGCTGACTGGGCCTCAGAGGCCTGGATCTCATAAGATTAGGGGACAGAGGAGGGTCTAGAGGAGCTACTCGGAGGATCCATTGGCAGTGGTTTAGCCCTGCGACTGGCATCACTATCCCCTAGTCGCTTCATGGCCGCCAGGACAGTCTTGTGAATGCTTTGGGCCACCAAGGCATCAGGCGCCTGTAGCCACAGCTCCCTGGGACTCATGGGTGCTGAGTGGCTCAGCTCCAGGAAGAAGAAGGAGTCTGTGTGGCCACAGCGGCGTACGCTGAGCAGGGACAGGCTTAAGGCTGGCAGTGGCAATGCCTGGATGTCCCCAGAACCTCTGCCCCTGGGCTTTCACTTCAGGCTTAGTACCCCTGAACCCAGGCACAGGCGGTAGCCACCAGCGCCCAGGCTTTGTGTCTGCCCCAGCCCCTTAGGCTGCAGTGTCACAGGCCAGATGTCCTGAAACAGAGTGAAGATCCAGGTCCTGGGATCCTCATGGGAACCGGGATCTGGAGGGACAATAGGAGGGTCACAGGGAGTTCCTGGGCTGGGAGGTTGGAATCACTGTGCCCCGGAAACTGAAAAAGGGTCAACACTTAATATTTGAACTTGGTTTCGGTGACCTAGGGGAGGGACAAGCTATAGCTAGACCAAATCCACGACTATCGGACCCTTGCCTCCAGTCCCTTTCTGCCTGCCCCGGCCTCTGGCCTCACCAGTGGCAGCAGGCTGCACTTCTGCACTTCCAGTAGGGCATTGTACGACGCCTGCTGTTCCGCCTTGCTAGCCGCTGCCACGCCCAGGCTACAGTTGCGCGTGTAGACAATCAGGCTTTCGCTGGTGCGTGTCCTTTTGCGCTTGCTGATGGTGCACACGCCTGCCAGGCTTATGCTGAGCTTGGGCCGTGCTCCTATGGCGCGGAAATTCTCGGTTTCGGAACTAACACTCGAGGCGCGGCGGGCCAGCGCCCAGCACCAAGCTGAGCCGCACGTCAGCCGGGCAGGCCCAACGCGGCTGACCCAGGGGCACGTCAGCCAACTCGGACTCCGAGGTTGCTGTGGGGCCGCCTCTGGGCCTCATCCTGCACCACAGGCAATATGGTGCCCGGAGGAGGGACTGAAGCGCCTGGGAAAACGCCAGAAGAGATAGAGGTGGCTGCCTCCCTCCCCTCCCCCACCCCTGGTCTTGATGCCCCGCGTCTCTCCCTTGCTCCCGACTTGAAGTTTAGTGCAGCGTGTGCCACAGTGGCTGCCTGATGGCCTGTGACACCCCAGTCTCCAACGGCTCCGAGGCTTGATTCTGGCCAGCTCCTCCTCGTGCCTCCTCTCCCCTCCCTCTTTCTTCCTACCGCTCTGGAATCCTTACCCCACCGGGAGTTTAACCCTCCCGTGCCCCAGGCGCTGGACTCTAGGCAAGAGAAGCGGAGTTTGAGTTGGGAAGGCTAGGCGAGGCGGCCACCACCTCACCTCACCCCTTCGTACTGGCTTTGGTAGGGGCAGGTAGTGTGGGGGCGTCTCCACTGATTTTGAGCTTACTGCTGGGAAAGTGACCACGTAAGGCGAATGTGAATGGAATTGTGTTCAGTGATCGCGCCGGCGAGGCATCTGCAGTCCTGGAGATCAGGGGCGACTAAGCCAGGCGCCACCCTTACAGCAGTACCCCTTTCCGGCTCCCGCCAT